TATCAGATTTAGGAAATTTCCTTCTGTAGTGCCACTAACTTAACTTTTGTTAAATATTCTTAATTGCTAATAATTTGCCTCATTATGAAATGAAGTTAACAAGGTAAACTTGTTTTTTTCCCTTGAGAAGTCACTAAATCAGTAAATTATGATGTGTATTACTTCAGAGGGTTTATTTGTTCCCTAGCACTTAGACCAAGTTTCTTTAATACTACATTTTGTAGTCTGCTTAAAATGCATTGATACTGTATTTTGCAGCAATTGGCATTCTTAAAATGATGAGTAATTAAATAATAATTATTTCTTGCTAGATATGATTTTTCAAAGCATTAGTAAAATATTCATATCGAACTGGACTTAGGTAGAGAAATAGATGACTAACATTGCTCTTCTTAATTTGAATATATTAGGAGGCTAATTTTTCCCTCTTCCAGTTTGGTCATATATTTCTAGCTTTTTCTTCTGATACAAGGGATTGTAAGTAACTTTTTGTATTCTGAGCTTCACAAAAACTAGCTATAAGTGTTTTTTTAGCCATCTTATAGACTCTACAAGCTATTTTTGTATACTTTATACTAAAATTATGTTAAATTCTTATTTGTTCAACTCCTACTCTGTGCCCAGCAGTGTAGTGTAGGCACTTGAGATCTAATGGCAAACAAAACAGATATTGTTCCTCCACAGGGCTTCCAATCTAGTGAGAAGACAAAGCTGGATGAAATAAATAATTACAAACTGTGATAAGTGTGGAATCTTGTCTGGTTCCTTGCAGGAACTCAGGGAATGTTTCCCAGAGGAAGTGTTATTTGAATTGAGACCTACAGTTTGCATATGAACTAAATAAAAGAAGTGTGCTGGCCCAGGAAATGGCAGATACAGACATCCTGAGGCAGTAGGGTAAGGAAGAAGTATGTGTGGGTCTTGGAGGTCTAGAGGTAGTTTAGCTAATCCTAAAGAACACAGAAGAGGAATGAGATTGGATATGGAGACCAGTTTTTATAGGACCTTTTAGGACTTTATCCTAAGGGCAGTATAAAACCAATGAAATATTATAAATAGGGAAGTGACATGATCTGGTTTGTATTTTGGCAAGAATATTCTGTGTGTTTTGTGGAAAATGAATTGAAGAGAGGCCACAAACAGCTAGGTAAGACCAGACTGGCAGCCACTGCAGTAGTCCAAACACCAGATAATGCTAGCCTGCCTAGGGTTATGACAGTGGAGGTGGAGAAAATTTAACAGATGGGAGAGGTAGTTGAGGAAAGAGATAAATTCGGAATGCATACACCTTTGGGTACCATTTAAAATATATTAAAAGACAATAACTTTTACTTAGCCTATATTTGTTTACTTTTTATGATACTGTATTGCTTATGTAGCTCTCTTTGATAGTCATTCCTATTATTTATCTTAAGTGCCATTGATGGCTAATGTCCCTCTCTTGCCTGCCTAGGTGCTATTGAGTGGTTCTTTGAATTGGCCAGATATCTGTTTAATCATGAAATATTGATGCATATAAAAGAATATATAAAACATATCTAAGGTGTAAGTAAAAAATAAAATGCCTGTGATGTATCATCTAATCAAGCTATACAGTTTTAGCTATAAGAAACAATTGTGAAGTAATCTCCAGTAATGATTCCTCTTAGATATTTCCTGATTAGCATTCATCATTTGAAAGTTAAGGGAGGTAGTTGATAGTGATTGTAAAAGGAATGGCAATAATAAAATACCTAATGACCCCTAAAATGAAGAGAGTTATGCCTGATGTAAAAACAACGAATGCTTTGTGTAATGAGCTATGTAAATATATGATATTAATACTCTTTTGTTATTAGAGCTTTATATTATAAATTAGTCCCTATTGTAGTCAGATCAGAAAAAATATGGAAAAGATGAAAAATGAGGGGCTAGTAGAGTCAGTAGTTAGAAAGATAATCTCACCAGAAATACTGAACATTTTTTATTTTTATTTTTGAAGTTGATGGAAGGAATGAGGAGGTATAATGGGTCAAAGGCATTACTTCTTAAACTCTGTCTCATATTATCATATACCTTTGAAAGCATGTGCAATTATGGATTATTCACAGTATTTTTAGATTCAAATCCCTGCTAGTGATTATTTTTGGAAATAAACATGTCAGACTAAATCGGTCTAGTATTTGAATTTCCCTTAATGAGATTTTTTGCCATTTCACTAATTTTAGAAATATCACAGTTCAAAACTGTTTTTAAAAATATGTAAATTCTATACTTTTAAAACGATTTGTTTAGATTTTGGTGACTTGAGGTAGATTTAGTAATTGATAGCATTTAATTTTTCAATTGTTTTGTAGTAAAGCTTAGTATTTAACTTTTCTTTATATGAAATGTGGGACCTATCGGCTTTCATGAATATTTATCAAATGCAGTTTTATTTTGAATATTTATTATTCTTGTACAAGAGAGTGTTAGATCTGATGTTCGATTTTAATGTTTTTAGGTATCTCTAAAAGTCAAAAGGCTTCTATGTAAAATAGGATTTTCTAGTCTTTTTGCATTAAATTTAAATATTTACTTTCAAACCCAAACATGGTATTCATTCTAAGATTGTTATCCTAACTTGTCTTATAAATATTTCTGGTAATGAGAAATATACTTGCCATTCTATATTTCACCTACCTCCTCCCCAAGAATTTTTTTCTCCAACTTTATTTATATTTATTTTTGTGAGGTAGAGTGTGTTGTTTCAATACATGCCTATACTGCACAATAAATCACGTAGGGTAGACAGTATAGTTTTGTAGGATTAGTCCACCCTTTTTCTTCTCCCCCCCCCGCCCCAAGATTTTAGCAATAATATGGTCTTTCTGAAAGGCAGTTCAACATGGAGTAAAGAATAGAGCTTTCTATTCTTTAGAAATAATTTTTATGGAATTTGATATAATTCTTCTAAGATATTTCCTGGCTGGCAGCTATCAATAGAAAGGACAGGGTGGAGTATATCAATGCAGCATTAAGAATGATAATTTTGACCTGTTTCCAGCTGAATTACAACTCTGTAATTGTAGGCAAGTTATACTAACCTTCTTGAATACCCACTTTCTTTATTTGGAAAATGATAATGATGGTACCTACTTCATAGAGATTTAAGATTTTTATAGAGAAAAAAACATACAAAGCACATAGCACAATGCTTGGCACATAGAACGTGCTCAACAAATGTTAGTTATCTTCTGTTTTCATCTTAATTTTCCTGATTTATTTTTGAAATAATTTGTAAATTAGTTTTAAGTCATTTTTAAGAAAAGTGGTGACTCCATAAAAAATATGTTTGAAATAGTGAATGTTTGTATGCAGTAAGTCAAAATAAATGGAAATTTTTTAACATTCATTAAATATTTGGGCCTAATTTGCTTCCTTCTAAGTTGGGTGCATGTAGCTCAAGCATTTATGACAAATTTCTTTGACCCTTTGACCCTTTTTTCATAGGATAAAAGGTGGACTAAACAATCTTTCTATTTATTCTAATGCCTGTACTTTTCTGAGATCATATTTGACCTTAAATATTTCTCTGAATAGATTTTAGTATAATGGTGTTAGTTTCAGTGTTTTGTTTGTACAGTTAAAAACATCAAACTCAGCAACTTTGTGTGGGTATGGCAGGGATTGGAGAAATTAGTGAATGGTTTTTAACTTCTATTAATCAAAATATAACTGTATATTCTAGAGAGAAAAACTAGTAGTCATGTCACTTGAGTTCATAAAAACTTGGCTAATTTTTTTTTTTTCCCTTTTTGTCTTTTTTCGTGACCGGCAACGGATCGCAACCCTCAGTGTTGTGCCCGTACCGGACCGGGACCGGCAATGGGATCGCAACCCTTGGTGTCGCGCCCGTACCTCGCTCAGCCAGTGAGCGGCCGGTCTGTATGTGGGATCCGAACCCTTGGCGGGAGCGCCGCCGCGCTCCCAAGCAGCGCACTGTAGCAGTGCGCCACCGGGCTGGCCCCAAAACTTGGCTAATTTTTAATAATCAATAAGTTTTTTCTGCCAATTGGCATTAGATTACTGCTGACTTTTTAGTGTCATAATACCTTGTAGTAGTTTCCCTAGAGGGTTTAAAGGTATATGCCAGGTTTTTTTTTTTTTTTCTGTTCTGCCCACAGGAAATAATCTTTACAAATACTATAAGAAAAATACCTCTAAAAGTTTATAAATGCCATTAATATCCTATAAGGATCGGTCAGTTCCATTGTCTTCTTTTGTCAATCTTTATTGGAGCTTGCAGAGTAAGTCTTTAAGCCTGCATGTGCCTGGCAACTGTTACCTAGTGACAGTTTCAGCTGCAGTAGCCATTGGCTGTGCTGTTGATTGGGGCAGGAGGACCGAGTCACCTTTCTGATGGTGAGTTCTTCTGCATCAGCTCAGGATGAGGAGGAGGAGCAGGGCTCGAGCTCAGGTGGAGGCAGTGATACTGAGAGATTGTGAAGAATATACCGACAGCATCCTGGTAACTGCATCACAGTAAATCGGACTTCTGAATCAAGCAGCCCAGCCTAGCAGCTGATAAGAGTGACTGTAGGTGAGAAGCATTACCTTATTCCTGTAACAAGAGAACTATTTTGTGATAAGTGAAACTAGGAATGTTCAAGGAGGAATATCCTGTGGCTATTGTAAGAAAAGAAGGACTTCTCTGAATGACTTGGTGATGCATGAGAAAATAACTTTCAGAAGAATGCTTTCTATTAAGCTGCTGCATTGTTCCTGAAGGAAATGTTTTTATTTCTAGTGCATGCTATTTCTTCAAAAGGTATGACAACAAAGACTGACAAAAGACTCTCTGAAATGCCTGTACTTTAAAAAAGACTTTGGCAACTGTTAACCTGATATCACAATGACCTTGGAAGCCTTTTGAATGGATTCTATCCTGCCAGCTTTTCAGTATTTCAGACTCTAGGATTTAAACTCATCTTGATGCTTTAGAGATATTTTAAAACAAGACTATCTCACAACCTACCTAATGGCCCCGTATTAATTGAGCACTTGCTCAAAATAGAACACAGAAATAGAAGAGGCATTTTCTTAACATATGGCTGCTACATAACTGCAAACATAATAAACAAGGTAATTTTCCACTTTCAGAAGATTTAGTTGAAGTAATGATTTAATGTATTAATCATCTAATGAAAATAGGAAAAGTATAGCAAAATAGAATATAAAGTCTACTGGAAATACCTAAGTCAAATAATGGCAGCATTTCTAGTCAAATAAGCTTAGGTATATAGGGAAGTTTCTATTATTGTCTAAATTTTATATATATTTACATATGTATGTGAGATACGGGTATGGTTGCAAATGTAAGAAATAACTTTGAGCTGTATATTTTATTATTATGCTCCAATATAGGAAGGTGGCATATTAAATAATGAAATTTTTAGCTACAGATGCCAAAATTAGTAGCACAAAATATTTCTTTTCATTTTGAAAGGGAAGAGGTATAAATTACATTGCTGGTGATAGCACCAGTAACTGTGATAGACTAAAACTGTTTTCCTGTAAATGCTTTAAAAAAATGCGTGCAGAATTAAAACTTCAAAAGTTTATCATATTTTGTCAGGTGTTGAACCATTGATTCATTGTATATTATCTTTCCTGTGGAAATATACTTTTTTCTTGTGAGAGTTACAGGGCAATCTGGAGTCTGTTTGTTACTCCTATTCTACCCCTTTGTGCTTATATAGAGATGAGTCTTTTGGAATCCACCTTGATAGAGTTGTTTTTCGTAGCTTTAAAAGAAATGAAAGAGATGGATCATAAAGTTTACCCACCAACATCAGTCCCTGATCTGAACCCAAACCAGTCTCCCGCAATGAAGTTTTTCTTAGCTTTGCAACCCAAACTGGGATCTTCATTATTTAAATTGTAAAATACGAATGCATTTTTCATCATAGATGAAGCAGGAAGCCTGAGACAATTTAAGACCTTTTCTTTTCTGTTCTTTCTAGTTGATCCAAGAAACTACCTCTCTCAGGAGAACAAACAGCTCACAGAAGCTTTTCTTCCTTTGGCAACTGATTTTTTTTTTTTTCTTTTACAGATTTAATTTTTTGTAGTGCAAGGTAATAAGAAATCTGTTTTCTCTAGAAGTCCCTTGTGTCTGCAAAAAGTTGTTTGAGAGCATTGGGGAAAGCTAATCAGTGACCTCTGTTCACCTCCTTTCTAGCTTTCCCTCTCCCTTTCCTCCCAAAGCTGAGGTGTGTCACTGCTGAACTGAGGCTGATGAAGAGACTAGAGCACTCTCTGGGATGCTCAGCTGTGACAGAAGCACTGATACTGTCTACCAAAGCAGGTTCTGAGACACTCATTTGCATAGTTTAACAGATGCTGGGCAACGCACCTGCTTGCTGTAGCCAAGTCTGCAGAGTCTCTTAATTCCAAGCCATGAACGAATCCAGGTGGACTGAATGGAGGATCCTGAACATGAGCAGTGGCACTGTCAATGTGTCGGAACGTTACTCCTGCCCACTTGGATTTGGCCACTACAGTGCAGTGGATGTCTGCATCTTTGAGACAATAGTTATTGTCTTGCTGACATTTCTAATCATTGCTGGGAATTTAACAGTCATCTTTGTCTTTCATTGTGCTCCACTCTTACATCATTATACTACTAGCTATTTTATTCAGACGATGGCATATGCTGATCTCTTCGTTGGAGTTAGCTGCTTGGTTCCTACTCTCTCACTTCTCCACTACTCCACAGGTGTCCATGAGTCATTGACTTGCCAGATTTTTGGATATATCATCTCAGTTTTAAAAAGTGTTTCTATGGCATGTCTTGCTTGCATCAGTGTGGATCGCTATCTTGCAATAACCAAGCCTCTTTCCTACAATCAATTGGTCACTCCTTGTCGCCTGAGAATTTGCATCATTTTGATCTGGATCTACTCGTGCTTAATTTTCTTGCCTTCTTTTTTTGGCTGGGGGAAACCTGGTTACCACGGTGACATTTTTGAATGGTGTGCCACCTCTTGGCTCACCAGTGCCTATTTTACCGGCTTTATTGTTTGTTTACTTTATGCTCCTGCTGCCTTTATTGTCTGCTTCACTTACTTTCACATTTTCAAAATTTGCCGGCAGCACACCAGAGAGATAAATGACCGAAGAGCCCGATTCCCTAGCCATGAGGTAGATGCTTCTAGAGAGACTGGACACAGCCCTGATCGTCGCTATGCCATGGTTTTGTTTAGGATAACCAGTGTATTTTACATGCTGTGGCTCCCCTATATCATTTACTTTCTTCTAGAAAGCTCCCGTGTCTTGGACAATCCGACACTGTCCTTCTTAACAACCTGGCTTGCTATAAGTAATAGTTTTTGTAACTGTGTAATATACAGTCTGTCCAACAGTGTTTTCCGGCTAGGCCTCCGAAGACTGTCAGAGACAATGTGCACATCATGTATGTGTGTGAAAGATCAGGAAGCACGAGACCCCAAACCTAGGAAACAGGCCAATTCCTGCTCCATTTGAAGAGAACTACACAGTAAATCAAATATAACCTGACAGTGGTTTTGGATCGTATTCTTGATTCATCTGGAAACTTGCCATCAGAGAAATATTTACTTGAATAGTTGACTATGAATTGAAGGATGAAACTAAAAGTTTCTTTCTTTCTTTTTTTTTACTTTTTCATGAAAAAAACTAAAATTAAGGATGTATAGAGAATAATCTCATGAGGTAATTATAGTGTGTGAGTATAAATGTGCAGTAATAGGAAAACTGAAGCACTGAGGGTGAGAAAAGTCTCAAGTCTTCTACAGGACATGAGCAGCCTCTCGGTGTCCTACGTCTGACTGTTCTCTCTGTCTCTGTGTTTGTCTCTCATTTTTTCTCTCTCCGTTTCTCTCACTCTTTGTGTTTGTGGAAATTATTACTTAGATAAATTGCCCCTTATACAAAAATGTATATTATATATCTGGCAAAGGATAACCTTTTGCCTCAAAGTGTACTTTTAAACACAATCTAAGATTCATAAGTGATCTCTTCATGGAGGATGCACATTAAGTGTTGTATTTTAGCACTTGCACACAACTCCTTTGCTTGTGTTTTTATAATCTTCTCTGCAGCACAAATTTTCTGTTACAAATTTTTTTTTTTTTTTTTTTAAAGATGACCGGTAAGGGGATCTTAACCCTTGACTTGGTGTTGTCATCACCACGCTTAGCCAGTGAGCGAACTGGCCATCCCTATATAGGATCCGAACCCGGGGCCTTGGTGTTATCAGCACCGCACTCTCCCGAGTGAGCCACGGGCCGGCCCAATTCTGTTACAAATTTTAAAAAAAACAGTATTTTTGTTTCTTCTGGGCAAAATGACATTTGCTTCAGCACCGCACTCTCCCGAGTGAGCCACGGGCCGGCCCAATTCTGTTACAAATTTTAAAAAAACAGTATTTTTGTTTCTTCTGGGCAAAATGACATTTGCTTCCCCCCCCTCTTTCTAACAGCCTGCTGTTTTCTCTTTCTCTCCATTTTTCTTGATCTACGTCCTTTGGTACCTTACTCCAGAAGTGTCTTAGCTAATGAATGAATCTACTGTATAAAGCAATCATAATGTTAAATAATTTATTCCTTCCAATACAGCAATTTAGTAGCCTATTTGGGAGTTTGTGTTAAATATTTTTGACGGTTTTTGTAAACATTTTTATTTGGTTTCTTTTAAGTTTGTTCATGTGCCTAAAGTGGTGTCTTTTTGCTACAGTAAAGCCTTGTTTTTCTTTAAGAAAACCCACAAGTATTTCTAATGCAGATGAAGGATACTCACCCAGCAGTGAGATATCACTCTTAATGCTACTTATAATGTTTTTTTTTTCCCTTAAAAAACAGCAAGACATTAACCTTTTTGTGTTAGGTCTACAATATTTACTGTTGTGTCCACCAGTCATTTGTGTGATATGCATTTTCACATACTATGCTTTTTACAACAAAGAAAATGTAAATTATGTGATCTGTGCCTAATGTTTTCTTAGCACAATATATAGATCAATGTTGTTTAAGTTGTCAACATTGGAAAAATATATACAAAAACTTATTTTAAGAGAAAAATACTTTTGTGTAGTTGTTATTTAGATATTTATATTAGACGAAGCTGCATTCTTAGTGCTGCTAAGAATATAATATACTTAATTATCAAACACAGGTAAGAGCCGTCAGTATTTTCTTTTGTAATGATTTGTTTTCAGATGCAGAGATTAACTTATTTTTTAGTGTGCTACATGGGATTGTGTAATAAATTGTGAGAGGTTTAGATGTAGCAGAGTGGCATTTAAGAAATTAGTAGTGAAGCAGGTGTGAGCAGTAAAACATCTACACATTACTTTTTTACCATACGTCTCTTGCCTGAAAGATATTTTAAAATTTTTATCAAACTACTGAGTATTTTTCTTCTCAGCATTTTTGATTTGTTTTATGAAATGCATTTAATGAAATGTGCCTATGATTCTTCAAGTTAGAAGCCAACCATGTTTGCACTCTGGTGGTTTGACTTGAGCAGTCCTTTAATAGAAATGTTGTCATTTTATTGAGGTTGTTCTGAACCCCTGTATACTTTTAAACATGTAAGAAAGGTTTAAAATAAAGAATAAAATAGTATTCTATATATCAACCTCAGACTTTTCTTCAGTTTAATAAAACACTTACTTAGAACAAGAGTTTACTTGTTTGGTAATCAAAATCTAATTGTTTTACACTTCTGTAGCTTGGGTTTATATTTATTTTTGTCCCCTGTTTGCCAGTGGCATCTTGGATGAGTTGAAGTACACCTTTTAAATTCAGACCAGTTCAAGAAAACCATAAAGTTCAAGGAAACATAGTACTGCTAACTTTTCAGGTATCATAAATAAAACCAGCAATACTATATGTATTATTTGTGAATCAGATTTTTATTCCTTTAGTTTACATTGTAAATATAGTTTAAAAAGACCCAGTAGATGCTCCCTACAGAAAGTCTGAAGCCCTGCTTATTGCATTTTCCTCTTCTGGCTTTTCCTTATAATAATTAGAACAATTATGTGCCAGGCGTAGCATTAACTTTTACATCTATTACAACGTTTGATACTCACTACAACCCTTTGTGATGGTTCTGTTATTCCTCCCACTCTGAAAGATGAAGAAACGAAAGAAAGGTGATTTATTCAAGGTCACTCAATTAGTCAGTGGCCAAGGTTCCTGCACACTCAGTTGGCCTGGAGCCAAAACCTGTATGGTGAATGCTGCAACGCTTTCTCTTCAAACGGCTTCCAGCCTTTGTACCTCTCTCGGTGTCAAAATTTCTTTGAGCTTTATTATTTTTTTCTTACCTTAAGTCTTTTGCTTTAGTTCTTTCCTTATCTTGTAGTATCTTTTTCTTTAATCTTTTTAGTTTCTTTTATTCAAACAATAATTTGATAAGCCTAAACTTACCAGTTTAGTTTAAAATCAAACTGAAAATGTGGGGCATGGCATTTCCTTGATATTACTTTTGTTCATTTTTGTTAAGTTTTCTTTGAGTAATTTTTTCAAATCTCTATGAATTTCGTGGGGCATGGCATTTCCTTGATATTACTTTTGTTCATTTTTGTTAAGTTTTCTTTGAGTAACTTTTTCAAATCTCTATGAATTTCTTTTTTTTTTTTTCCTTTTTGTCTTTTTTCGTGTTCGGCAACGGATCGCAACCCTCAGTGTCGCGCCCGTACCGGACCGGGACCGGCAACGGGATTGCAACCCTTGGCGCTGCACCCGTACCTCGCTCAGCCAGTGAGCGGGAACCGGTCTGTATGTGGGATCCGAACCCTCGGCGGGAGCGCTGCCGCGCTCCCAAGCGGCGCACTGTAGCAGTGCGCCACCGGGCCGGCCCTCTATGAATTTCTTTTTGAAAAAAATTTTTTTGAAGGGGAAGAGTGGAAATGAAAATTCTATCACAGGGTGAAAGAGGATGAATGAGGCTTGGTCTAGGTTTAGGTTCTTCATTTACTGTAACGTTTCATGTGCAACTCTAGGTGAGCCAGTTGGCTTCCTTTTGACATATTTTAATATGTAATTATTAAATAAGATAATACTGATTTTGAAACTACTCTGTCTTTTTAGATTAATGTTTTAAGAATAGGAAGCATAATCATTATTCCCATCATTATTTTGTATTCTGTGGTAATTATTGAGTTTGGTTATAAATGACAGCCCCAAAATAGTGCTGTATTCTATTATCTAAGGGTTCTGTTATTTGTATAATTGTTTCTAAAGTTATATGGTGTTGGAAGGCTTTATGTCCTACTAGTGTATGAAACTTGAGCTGAAATCCTGGCCTTCATAAGCTGTTCGGCTTTATGTAAGATACCGAATATTTCAAAACCTTAGTTTTCTCATTGGTAAAAATAAAAGGCAGAGATTTGTACCTCCCTGTTCAGCTGGATTTGAGGACTAAATGAGATTTTGTAGTCTATGTGGTCAGCATGGCTTCTGGCACATAGAAAGTGTTCAGCATGTAGAAGTCATTATTTTACCATCTTTCTAGGTACCATATTTATCACCATCACACCTTAAATATCACTGATTCCAGTTTAAACAGAATTTATCCATTGAGCATTAGGGTTTTCTAAGACAACATTTTTATCCCAAATCTGTTTAAACTCAGACTTTGGCTTAAATTTAGATGTTTTTAAATATGGAAAAGTTCCATAATTTCTGGAAGCTCATTTCCCAGGAATAATTATTCGTGAAGACATTTGAGATTAAAGATACCCAGCAAGCAGATGCTGTGATGAGAAAGTCAGGGATGATTCTGAGATTAATTTACCTGCTTACTTTATTGTATTAAATATACTCAAACATTTTTTTCTCATTAGAGTGGCACTAGTAGGAAAGGATTGTCCAGGGATATCTTACTATTTGTCTTTGCATTTTAGAGTGGCATTTAAGGTATTTCTTCTCATACACGTTACCCAAAAGAAACAGTGATTAATAAGCTGGTGTTCTCTACAGTACTATTAATTATGAGTTTAAAAATAAATGAAGTTTTGCCTTAAGGGACTTTCCTTTGTCCTTCACCACCCCAGAAGCTACTCATTAGATGTGAAAAGACACATTTATGTAATAAGCAGACAAAAAGATTAAGATGTGGGGAATCTGCTAGTATAACACTGTAAATATGGCATCACCTATGTTCACATAGGGCCATTGTAGTGCACAAGAGCATATGTTAGTGAGTCAGTGCTATATTTTGATGTGTAGGTTCCAGCAGATGCTCTTTTCTTTGAGCAAAAGAAATTTATTTTAGGATTAAGAAGGATATGTAAAAAATGGCATATTCTATAACGAAATGTATAGATATTGAAGAAAACAAAATGGCTGGAAAAGAAAAAAATGCGTAGATTTCCTTTTTAATATTTCTCATAAATGAAACCTTTATCCAGTGCTAGTTTTGCTTTGTAATTTAAAATATCCGTAACTTTTTTTTTTGAAATAGTAAAAAGTGGCTATCTTTTAAAATATTAAAGGTGGGGGCCGGCCCGGTGGTGCACTGCTACAGTGCGCCACTTGGGAGCACGGCGGCGCTCCCACCGAGGGTTCGGATCCCACATACAGACCGGCCGCTCACTGGCTGAGCGAGGTGCGGGTGCAACACCGAGGGTTGCGATCCCGTTGCCAGTCCCGGTCCGGTACAGGCACGACACTGAGGGTTGCGATCCGTTGCCGGTCACGAAAAAAGACAAAAAGGAAAATAAAATAAAATAAAATAAAATAAAATAAAATATTAAAGGTGGTGTAGTTAAGGATTTCTTTTTTTTCTTTTTTATTACTATTCGATTAAAATTTTTTTTTTACAATGTGAATTTTTGTTTACAATCAGGAAAATTAATGTTTTATTAAAAAGAATGCTGAATATTTGAATATATTTTGACAGTTTACAAAATAGCTTATGTTGATAGCACAAGTAACACTATCCAATAATGTTTCAATCTTTTTATGAAGGTAGTTTCTATAGTTTTTGACTTCGGTAAGATTTATTATTTTAGGTAGACTTTTCAGAGAAACTCAATGACCTTCTACTTGAAATATTAGATGTTCTTGACTTAGTTTTGCTTTAACATAAATAGTTCGAAATGGTGCAAATAAGTGTGTGTGTGTGTGTGTGTGTGTGTTTTAATGTTTTCACTTCTACCC